GTTGAAGGGGTAATGGCCCCTTCACCCGTACTAGCTGGGAAACCACCCTAGTACTAAGTCCCCTGTCCTGTTCCCCAGTCCTCCTCTAATAGGCTACGGGAGGCTGTCTGATCTGGCCCTGGTAAGCACAGATCCCGGCACCAGCTAAGCCGGCCTTGCCCTTACAAGGGCAGAGGTCCGGAAGCTCTTGGGCCACGCCGCTGGCTTACCCAGCTCGGCCCTGACAAGGGCAGCGAGACAGGGGAGTCCCAGGGCCTAGTCTGCCGGTCTTCAGACTTCACTGGTCAGCTTCTTGTAAAACTGGCCCCGAGCTCTCTGGCTCCCCGCCTTTTATAGAGATCCCCTCGGAGGGGCGGGGTTATGGGGGATCACAGAGCCCCCATGGCCCCCCAGTGGTTAACGGATGCGGACATTGGTGTAGACACCCGTGTGTGTGGGTGCAGACACCCCTGTGTTTCCCGTCCGCCTTTTCTCCCGTAATAACCCCTACATATGTCTCATTAAGGCCACTCACGCGCTGTTTTTAACGAGCCGTGCCTGTGCTATCACTGATAATGCAGTATCACCAAATCTGTTGTACAGCTGTAATCTTGCTGCTTGCTGCTGGCCGCCTGGCGTGATTGGCCTTTGGACCCTCTGCGCAACAACAGCGATCTAAAAAAAAATCACGTCTCCCTCTCACACACACGGCCCACTCTCACACACGGCCCACTCTCACACTCACACATGGCCCACTCTCACACTCACACATGGCCCACTCTCACATTCACACACGGCCCACTCTCACACTCACACACGGCCCTCTCTCACACACGGCCCACTCTCACACACGGCCCACTCTCACACACGGCCCACACTCACACACGGCCACTCTCACACACGGCCCACTCTCACACTCACTCACACACGGCCCACTCTCACACACGGCCCACTCTCACACACGGTCCACTCTCACACACACTCACACACGGCAAATTCTCACTCACATTCTCACACAGTTTACACTCATGCAGAGCAACTCACGCTGCCACACACACTGCCGCCATCTTGCCGAAGACCCAAAGAATATGAATTCCTGCAATCACAAAAGCTTTAAGTCAAGATTTAACCGCCTCTACAGGGACGGTTTTCACTCAACAATTAGATCTTTTAACAAACTTCGAGACAAGAAGGCTCATCTGATCGAGTTGCTCACTTTTCTGAAGAGATGCTGCGACACTAAGGTAACACCGATCGCCTTTACACTGACATCTGCTGCTGTCACTTCTCCTAATGCTAAACGGATCTTATTCAGGGCTGGCCTAGCCCTGATCTCAGGGAGAATAAGATTGTTCTGATTTGAACTAGACAATTTAAACAAGACTCTCTTGCAGTCACACCTAACATTGAATGAAAAAATGTCTACATCTGATTGGGAACATGTAGATAACATGACTGCCTCGTCAGCCGCCTCAATGTCAGCTAAATGCAAAGATAACCTGATTTCCAAGTTCAACCTCCTGTCCAAGAAGAAGCCAGATCCACACATTAAAAAGTTAGACGGTGACAATATTGTTATCAAGCGTAACAGCCCAATTTTCGACAGCCTAAAATCGGTTCCAGCTAAAGAATTTAATTTCGCAGTCACCCCTAAACACATCCCTGTTGATGATATCATTGCCCAGGTCAACGTAGACCTTAAGGGTTTGGGACACATTCCTGCAGACGTCGCAAGAAAGGAAATTGCTGCAATCCTCAAAAAGCTAAGACATCTATTAGCAACATCAGTAAGGGTGAGCGCTTTGAGCTTTCTTAACTAAAAAAGAGAGATCACATAGTCATCCTCTCAGCCGACAAGGGCAATGCCACGGTCATCATGGACAAAACCACATACAAAACAAAATTCAGGACCTACTTAATGATGGTAGCTTTCCCAAAATCAGTTAAGATCCCACCAACCGCCTGGTTATGAAAACCAACAATATCACAAATTCGACATCGTTTATCGAACCAACCAAGCAGCTTTCCTTAAAACCCTCTACTGCTAAACAACCCAGATTTTATGGCTTACCAAAAATCCATAAAGAAGGTACACCACTTTGGCCTATCATCTCCACCATTGACTCGCCCACCTACGAACTGGCCAGATTTCTGTCTGAGATCTTACAACCATTAACTGGTAAGACCACCTCAGCTGTACTTAACGCAGCTCACTTGGTATCGTTAATTAAGGACATCTCACTATCTCCAGGTGATTTTCCTGTCAGTTTCGATGTAGTATCTTTGTTCCTGTTCCTGACACCATTGCAATCATTGAAGATTTGGTCCAACAAGGACTGAATGCTGATGTACTGGCCCTTGTTAGACACTGTCTCACCAACACTTCACCTGGAATGGAACATTCTACAAACAAGTTGAAGGTACCCCAATGGGTTCTCCCTTATCTCCAGTTGTAGCCAATGTTTTCATGGGAAAAATTGAGACAGATGCCATCCAGGCATCCACCCTACGTCCTTTTGGAAGAGGTACGCAGATGACATGTTCGTCATCTGGCCACATGGCCTACCAGCTTTGGACCAATTCTTCAACCACATCAATTCCGTATACCCAGCCATCAAATTTACCACAGAGGTGGAAAAAGATGGCAAGTTACCATTCTTGGATGTTTTAATCGAAAAGAGACCAGATGGCTCTATGGGACACTATCTACAGGAAAGCCACCCATACGGATGCCTCCCTAAAACCTGACTCCCACCACCATCCATTCCAGAATAATTCCCTCATCAAAACTCTACACCATAGAGCTCGATGTATTTCTGACCATTACCACCTAGCCAGTGAATTGGAACACGTACACTAAACCCTCAAGATGAATGGATATTCAGACTCCACAATCCGTAAAGCTATCACCCCAACCGTTGGGAAATAACCATCTGAGGAACCAATCAAAACCATCACCTTGCCATACATAGCAGGGGTCACCAAAAATATTTCCAAAATAATGAGCAAACACAAGATCCAGGTTCGATTCAACACAGTCCATAAAATTTGTGATCTGATTCCATCTGTGAAGAATGTGATCCCTGACATGCAATACCCCGGCGTCTACAAACTAAGCTGTGTCTGCGGCAGTAGTTACATTGAGGAAACTAAGCGACATGTCTCTGTCCGTGTTCGTGAACATAAGGCAGATCTGAAACACGGTAGGCCCAATACCTCAGCCATGGCTGCTCATTGTTTTAATGCGGTGGGCACACACAATATATTTTTCCAAAACGAAGATATTCTGCAAACCCACTGGCTATCAGCAAAGATTCGTTCATGAAGCCATCCAGATATATAAACAGACACAATTTGAACCGAGAAGATGGGTACAAACTGAGAAATCATTGGAAGGATGTTATTAGCCAGGTTAAGTCATAACTGCCTGTGATGTTTAGTAGTTATTTTCGATCTCTGGTGTTACATTAACAGGTTAAATGTATAGTAATAGGTTTTTACCCTTTCAACTGGTACAAAAGCTGACATCTTTATACAAGGCATCATGTTTGCAATAACCACAACACAAGCAGTCAAAATGCAAACAAAAAGAAACAACTCTGATGATAATGATATGCACTGTCCTTGAAGTTGATTGGTCCACACCCGAGACAGCTTTTCTTAGAGCCTAGTCTCCATTGGTGTTGGACCAGATGACGCCAAAAGACGTACAACTCTAAGACAGCACACTATCAGAGTATTGAGAGCTCGGGGCAAGCATTTACACTATGAGACCTCCTTTACCAGTGGCAAAATATAGTAATAGGTTTTTACCCTTTCAACTGGTACAAAAACTGACACCTTTATACAAGGCATCATGTTTGCAATAACCACAACACAAGCAGTCAAAATTCAAACAAAAGGTTAAATGTATTTACATTAACAGGTTAAATGTCTCATTAACACAGCCATCGTTGCTTATTTTCCTTGATGTTGCGGTGGCTCTACGATCTTACATTGACATGCTCTCTCACAATATAATGGCCACCTCCGCAGCTTTATCGTCGTGGAGGTAGCTCAGCTCTGCGATCTTACATTTACTTGAAAATTTCATCACTAGCCCCGCCCACTTCGCTTATGACCCTTGGGCTACACCCATCTCAAACCTTTATAACATCCTGCCTCAGCAGCTCTCGCTATTTTTTCACCTGATGATGATTGCTTGTGTTGCGATCAAAACGTCGTGATATTTTTATTCTTTTTTCTATGTACGTGGCCTTACCGAAAGACCCAAAGAATATGAATTTAGAATGTTCCAAAATATATTATTTTAATCAGAACGATTTTAATTTAGACAGCACCTAAATACCATCAGCATCTGTAGGCGCTGTAGTTGGAGTAGTCCCAACATTACTGGTATTTTATTTTATTTGGCTCGGGGCATGTGGTAGTTTCATGCCTAAATTCTCATTGTTAACCCTTGACCATCCGACGTCGATGAGGTTCTGAGCGGTAAAGCCCCCTGCTGTGACTGGTGGCTACAGACGTCCCGTCACTGAACTCAACATCAACGCACCGCGATATTTTAATCGTTTCAACAGAAAAATACGAGAAAATCGTTTGTATTTTTCGTACACTTGATGGAGGAATATCCCCGTGATCTCCTTGGCCGGCAACACGGCCTGGCCATAGCGCATTCGCCGCTGGCTGTTGCACCGATATGCAGTTTGAATCCGGCAGGCCGCCCTGGTAAATAATGTGGGTGTATTAACCGTAAAATATGTGCCATCTGCTTCAAAGTGGACGTTTAAAGACTGTGCAACGTCATTCGAAAAATGTGCAAAGTTACTGACAAATCACTTGATTGGGATTCCACATCGAAATCGCCCCCGACAGTCTGAGGCATGTGCCGAGTGACTTTGTGTTGTACAGGACAACTGCCACCGGCGGTGATATACGGCACTTTGAGTTGCCGAGGCAGCTAAGCGAGGCTATGTAAGAGCCTATTTTTCTAATTATTCTGTTTGTTCGGCGCTCACTAGAGTGCGGCTGTCGACGTGGAACCGGCTGAACCTGCTGAGAAAGGGCCTGCTGGGAACCCTCATGGCGAAGGTGCTGGCCGAGGACCCCATTGCCCCCGTGCTGCACGAGGCCCACCTGCGCGCCATGGATCGCCGGCTGCTGCTGGTGCTGGAGACTGTGCAACAGTGCGTGGACTCGGGGAACTCCGATGCTGTGCTGCTGGAAGACCGCATGTTGTTCTCGCAGTAGCGCCCCACCGCCCGCCTGCTCGCTGCGACATGCATATGTGGTGCGACCACGATCCGGAAGTGACGGCAGACGAGTGATGCGGACTCGCATCTCAACTCGAGTGTAAGGTGTTGGGGCAAACGTCAAACTTGAACGCCACCAGCCAATATCAGGGGACGCTTGTTGAATGATCGCATGTGACAAGATACGTTTATTGATAATTGCGTGTGTTCCAGTGAAAAAAACACGCAGGTGGCTTTGTTGCATCTCCAATAGCTGCTGTAAAAGGGGAGTGGCATTATTGCAAACTCTGCTTTAAGGTTGAAGAGGACCATAGACTGTACTGACGACAATCTTTTTGTGTAACCATTCCCACAACGTTAATAAAATAACGTCGAGATTTATAGCAGAAGTGCATATGTAATGGAGCTATCTGACATCCACCAATTAAATATAAGTTATAGTTCACAAGGTCATAGAATGCTCAGATTTAAATCATGTTTTTAAAAAGTAGACACGAGGTAATAAAACGCAGATATTAATTCCACCTTCGAGGATGCAGGATAATAGCTCGCTGCCAGTATTAAAATCATCATGGGCTGCTCAAGGCAACTTGTCCCGCCCCATGAAAAGGATTACACACATGGGAGCTTTATGTTTAACCAGGAATAAAAATCTTGCAGATATTTAAACACGTCTTTATTTAACAAGAACTCCGTTATAAACTGTGCACGACTGATGTTCCCCCACTTTCGTACACACCCGCATTTAAAAACAGGAAGTAGTTAACCATTTCCTGGATACAAATTCGAATTTATCTGTATTGTGATGTGCCTTCTATGGTAAATACAGTAGCTAAAATTATCAATCGGAATGTGAACAAGTGTGACTATCACACACCACTTACGCCGAGGTATTTGTTCGTATGGCAAGATTGTATCTTGGCACCTTGGAAATATATGATTAACATTGCCCTTGTTTAAGGCTCAGGAAGTTTATTTTATGGCATATGGGAGGAAGCCAAATTACCTGGAGTAAACCCACACATACGAGGGGATAAAACTCAAAGCTTCACACAGATGGATTTAGTCTACTTGATGTACTGCTATCTCCTGGCCACCTCGCAGCCCAATAGCCTTGGCGAGCCTGGCAAATTTTGTGTGATCCACTCCTGCCTCCCCTCCAAAATGCCGGATTTCAAGCTCACACTATCGCATCCAGCTAGTTTGTAATTGATTGTGCTTGTAATAAGAGAGACAGCACCTGTTGCATTCTCTGGTTAAATAATTGAAACCACAAAATCATCACTCCAACGACAAGAAATTTGAGTTGGCCTGTAAAGGGAATGAAGTGCCCTGCTTAATTCCTGTTTGGTAGAAGCGTACATATAATGCTGTATGAATTATGGTTTATTTATAATGCTCTACATATGAAGTACATTAATTTCTCGCCAATTGCGGGGGTTAGGTTCCTAAAAACCACAATGGTTGGAAAAACCGTGGTTGACAAGACTAAAGGCTTATGAAAAATAGAGGGTTACGTTCCGCGGCCGCGGTTAACACTCATCGCAGCCTAACTATGCATCCAATGCATTCAGTCAACGTGAAAAATATATATTGTACTGTATGAACAAAAATAACTTGAATAATAGTGATCAAAAATACGTTTAATTACCTTTAATATTGATATTGTAGTGAAGTCCAGATAACAACGACACTGACGACGATGATGTTAATGGAGGAGGGGGTTATAGGGATGCGGGACTTCCCCTCCTCAGAACTTGTTTATATAAAGACAAACCACTTGCCTTGCCCTCTTCACATTACGCTTCACCTTCACCAGCTCGACACTTAGGGGCCATAATTAAGGGCAAAAATTAGTGGCATTAACAGTAATTATGGTAGACTTTCATGAAGCATAAATGACAGCACTGCTACGCTTGAAGATACTGCTGCACAACATTGAACGAGGCAGACAAGTACTGTACGCGGGCAAGAGTGGTGGGTACACGCGCGCTTTACGCGCCACTGGTGGTGGATTGCTTGAATACGGCTGGAGATTTGAAATTGTGGGTAGCGAAAACCAAACCGTGGTTAAGCAAAACTATACCGTGGTTGGCAAAACAGTATACGGAATATGTGTGGATCCTGGAAATCGCGGTTGGCAAAACCGTTGTCAAGGGATTGCTGTACCTATAACGCTGTACGGTCGTAATTTGTCCATCAAAACATGAGTAGTCTGAGTGCCACAGATTTTGTGCCATAGCTTGTAAATACATGGTGAGGACTTTTTAACAACGTACAAAGTCGACTACGTAATGCACTTTATGCTTTGAAGTGCAGAGTTTATTTTTGCCGATGCTGCAAAATGATTGCAGTGTCACATACAGTACTCGTGTACTTGTTGAAGTGTAGATATCTAGGGAATGCAAATGCATGTTTAAATTCTGTACATATTCCAGCTAGGTTTTGTGCCATTCAGAGTTTTACTCCTTTACAGTGTGGTTCGAGTAAATTTCAGATTTCCGTTGGAACTTTTTGTACGGGAAAACATTTCTCTGTTGATTGGGTATCTTTCAATTGTGCCGGTGGGCAGTGTATTTGGAGCGTTTTTTTCCATGGTGGTATTTTTTAATTGATGGCTGTATATTGCGTTAGACGATTGAAAGCACGTTGCTCGAACAAGGTCAAAACAGCGTATGTGAATATGCAAGAGCTCATGGGAATGCACTGTATTCACATGTAGATGTAAGAATGTATTGGTTTCTGAAACAAAGTTTTATCAATCTTGATTTGAAGCTTTCGTGACTGCAGGAAACCATACTCTTTGGTTGTTTCGGTGAAGTCACGTAGGTAGAAAAATAATAAATCACGACGTTTCGATCGCCACAAGCAACCGTCTTCAGGTGGGAGTGAGCAACAGGCTGCTGAAACAAGTCCTTATATATAGAGCCGGGAGGGGGGGGGTTGCCGCAACGGGCAAGAGGGTGGGGGCTGGAGCTTGTGCTGAGGAGGTGGTCATTGTATTGTGAGAGATTAGCATGTCAATGTGTATTGACGGTATATCACCCACTAGGGGCATAGAGCGCTGAACAGGGTGAAGGAAAGGCAGTGCTGAACAGGGTGAAGGAAAGGGGCGTAGATTGAGAGTCGAGTGTAATGACGGTATATCAGCCACTAGGGGGATAGAGTGCGCATCAGGAAACGCACAGAGACACACACAGAGACAGAGATACACAGGGATACACATAGAGAGAGACACCTAGAGAGACACAGACACTCGCAGAGACACGCAGACACAGAGGGACACACCGAGAGAGAGAGACAGAAAGACACACCCACACACGGAGAGAGACGCACTAAGTGACACACCAAGAGGGAGGCACACATACACACAGACACAAAGAGACACACGGGGAGAGAGACACACAAACCGAGAGACACAGAGAGAGAAACACAAAAACATTACAGCCAGTTATAGTCTGCTAAGAAACGAGAGCCACCGCCAGATCAAGCGAAAGGGGGCTTTGTTAGTGAGACATTTAGTCCGTTAAAGTAAAGAAATTTAACTTGGTAATGTAACTCAAGAGAGTCGGGAAAAACTGCTGACAATGGCAGGTAGGATGGAAACATCAACAAGCAGTTAAGGCTTTACCTGGTTAATAACGTCCTTCCAATGATTGCTCAATGTGTACCCATCTCGGTTGAAGCTATGTCTGTGTTTTTATCTGGATGGCTTCATGGACAAATCTTTGATGGTAGCCCGAAGGTTTGCAGAGTACCTTGGTCTTGGAAAAAACAATGTGTGAGCCCACCGCGTTCAAGCAATGATCAGCCACGGCAGAGGTATTGGTTCTGCCATGTTTCAAATCTGCCTTGTGTTTGCGAACACGGTCCAAGACATGTCGTTTCGTTTCCCCAATGTAACTGCTACCGCAGACACAACTTAGTTTGTAGATACCAGGATATTGCATGTCAGGAATCACATCTTTGACAGTTGGGATCAGGTCACAGATTGTGTACTGTGTAGAATCGAACCTGGATCTTGTGTTCAAGATTTTGGAAATCTTTTTGGTAACCATTGCTATGTATGGCAAGGTGATGGTTTTCATTGGGTCCTCAGATGGTTCTCTACCGCCGATTGGGTGATTGGACCTCCCGAGCTAGCACCCTCTCGGAGAGACATGACTAAAGCGCTGGCTCACTGCCGCATGGGTTTACTCCACACACGCCCACGTACAACACCATTAATGCGAAAGCGGCTGCGCAAACGCGCATGCCCCTACTGGCACTTGTATTCTAATACGCGCCCGCACCACGACTAGCACTATAGCGGCAGCGCGAACGCGAGCGCTTCTGTGGGCAGTTTATATACTAACCCACGCACACACTAACGCTATAGCGGCAGCGCGAACGTGCGCGCTTCTGCTGACGTTTATATTCTAACACGCGCACGTCCCACAGTTAACACTACAGCAGCAGCGCAAACGTGCTCACCTGCAAGCGATTATTTCAACGAGCGCTCGTGATGCAGCTCTGCCCTCACCCTCGCCGCACGTCCGCCCACGCAGCCGCTCCACATAAAGACGTGTTAAATGGCTGCGCGAATACGCGTGCCGGTGGGTGGTTATTCGCTACCCCTCACCTGCGCTAAGACTCACTCTAAATCGGCTGCGCGAACACGCGCACTCGAGTCACAAACACTGCGCCGAAGCTCTGTGCTATCGCCTTGCCTATTGCTGTCTCGTAGCGGCACTCGCTGGCATCTCATGGACGCTGCGAGCGGCTCGAAGAGGCAGGCTGGCTGGCAGGGAGTTGGTCTGGGTCACCAAGTGGCTGGAGATCAGTAGACCCTTCACCGTTTTTGGCTCCCCTTTTTATGCCGTGATTTCGAAAATCCAGGGTTACGTTACATCATCCGACACAGCCAATTGTGTGCCTCCATTTAGATTTTCAAACGTTTTGCTGCCGTTACCGTGAGCATTACGTTACGCTATTTTCCGGCCCATGGTTTCTGCGCCCGCATTCCTTACCCCTGACTCAGCCGGTTTAATCCACGGGTGTGCACTGGGATTTCCCTCTGACCTCATCGTCTGCGCTGTTCACTTAATATTTCACCCTGGCTCCTCCCCGGTGCTGTGACTCATTGTGGCTAGCCCGGTGAGCTTCTGTGCACCCATACAATTTTAAGCCAATTTAGGGGGGCCGCAATGTAATTTGCCCTGGGGGGTCGGCCAATCTGGCAGCGGGAAACCGTGGGACTTCCCACCTAGGGGCTCTTCGGATGAAAACCCGTGGGGTCAGGAGATCCCCCGCCAGGACACTACGTGTGTGTGCACGGCATGTGTGTGTTCAGGGTGGGGGTAGGGGGGGAGTCGCGGCGTTTGCGGAGTGGCTCTGTGGTCGTGGCACCACACAGCCCCCCAAAATAAAAATAAAAAAACATTCTCCGTTGTGGAGAAAAACTACATTTGGATTTGCACTAGTCATCTTTGTAATGGCGACGTTTTATATTTAACGTGTGTGCAAAGTCGGCCGAGGTCAACTTTTCTGTGGATAGACCCTTGAAGGATTTTTTAAAACATATTTCTCTCGTGTCGTTCCTCAGTGTGACGTTTGTTACTTTGTCATTAACCTGTAGGATAATTTGACATTGGTGAAAGAACAAGTCACGGCACAAAATGTTATACTGGACTTAAAATATATTGCAGTCTTGCAAAGGAGAGTGCTTGAACTTAACTTGGCCTGTAATGTGATGACTGAATACACAATTTCCATGTTTTATTTAATGGGTGTTTCAGCTGCCTGTTGAATCATTAATCACCACCGTGCTGCCTTAATTTGAAGTGCACCGAGTTGTTTGGTACATCCCATTATGAGGTTTGTTAAAAATAGTTTGACATCTCAAGGTCATCATGACCAATGCAGCAGGGTTGTGATGGTGCAGTTGTAGTGGTGTTATTTCACGCGGATAACCTTTTTCTCCTGTCACTTTTATTCCAACAGAACTCCTCGCGTTGAACACCACGTAACTCCGTCGCAACTCTCCCGCTTGCGCTGCTCACCTGCTTCACTCCGCTCGCTTCGCTCACTCAGCTTTCTCTCAGAGCCTCTCCGCTGCTAGCCTGCTTTCACTCTCCTAGCCTCTCCACTGCCAGCCTGGTCTCTCTCTCACTCTCCTAGTCTGCTCTCTCTCACTCGCCTAGCCTCTCCACTGCTAGCCTCCTCTCTCTCACTCTCCTAGCCTCTCCACTGCTAGCCTGCTTTCTCACTCTGCTATCCCGCTCTCTCACTCTGCTAGCCTCTCCACTGCTAGCCTGCTCTCTCACTCTGCTAGCTTGTCTGCCACGCTCCGCTCGCTCTTTCACTTCTAGCCTCTTCACTGCTAGCCTATCACTAAACACTCTGGTAGCTTCCCACCGCACACTCTGCTAGCTTCTCCACTATTCCTCTTTCACTATATACTCTGCTAGCTTGTCCACTGCTAGCCTCTCGCTATATACTCTGCTAGCTTAGGATTTCGCTAGCCTCTCTACTGCTAGCCTGTCTACCCTCGCCTCTACAACCTCGCCCTTGCCTCCAGTGGGGGGTCAGCCATCACTGCTGGAGAGGACGAGGTGTGGAGAGCGGGCTCTTGTGTTCACTCTTCTTTTCACTCCAACCAACTCGACCCCCTGCCTCACACGTTGCCGTGTCCTCCCGCACGTGGCTTCCGCTGCTATCGTCTCAATGTGCAGACTCCGAGGCACCTACACCTTATCTGCATTTGCAGCCAGCCAGTCACCGCTATGCATCTTAATTGGTCGTCTCTGGATTACTCTCTCACCGCACCTATTTGCCCTGACGTGACTTCACTGCCCGTGGCTCAAACGTGTGAAGTACCGGTGAGGACGCTTGACACCCAGGTTGAGGCACACGTGTATTTATTTTACAAGTCGTCACGACAGGACAGCACTAGAGGGGGTATCGGCCCCCTCACCCGTATAACTGGGGATACACCCCTAGCTATCCCTGACCTACCCCCGAGTCCTCCACTAACGGGCTAGGGGAGGCTGTCTGGCCCGACACTGGTGAGTCGGGCTACGGTACCCGGAGTCCCAGAGCGCTGACTCTGGTTCACGGGACCACGCCGCTGGCTCGGTCCTGCGCGGCCCTGACAAGGGCGGCGTCTCAGGGGAGTCCAGGGCTCTAGCTACCCGGGTCTTCAGTCTTCCCTTCTTCGTTCTAATACCGAGCCCCGAGCTCTCTCTGTCATCCCCTTTTATACCCCCTCCCGGATCACAACCGCCGGGCAGCCCGATGCGGACGTCGTTGCGGGCACCCCCCCCCCCCCGTTTACTCCCGGAGCTCCGCCCACTGTGTTTGTTCGCCATTTAATCCTATGTACAAACAGCCCTTCCATAACAGCCCTACACGTGCATACACACTATTTGCAAAACCCCGCGCCTGTTACTCCACTACACAGTGGTAACACTCTCGCCTCACAGCAACAATGGCCTGGGTTCACATCCCGACTTGGCGGGGGGGGGGGCTTTTCTGCGTGGGTTTACAGTTTCCTCCCATAGCTATAAAAAAACGTAACTCATATTGGCCAAATATTCCAATGCTGAAATTTTACCTGCACATCACTCAACTGGAATATGACGTGGCAACACCACCCTTCTACTACGAAAACTTGGCAGGATCCTTGAAAAGAGATTGTGAAGCAGCTTTCCTGGGTAACAATAATGATGCTGATGGGGCCTCCACTCCGCTTTATCCGCTAACAGGTATCGCACATTTTCATCCCCCCCCCCTCCTCGGCAACCTCCATCCACCTGGCTTCGTGGTATTTCATTCACCAGATGATAACTCAATATACTGGGGGATCATAGTCACATTTACTTACACGAGCGACCTGAATTATTACAAATAATAGGTTTTACCCTTTAGGGGCCGTCCATAAATGACATCACGCACCTAGGGGGGGGTCAGAAATTTGTGACGATGTGTGACGAGGGGGGGGGGGGGGTTGAGAAATGTGACGTCACATCAAAATGCGCAACTTTAAATAAATATAGACAATACGCACTACAATGACAATAGTTTAAAGCGATCTGAAGCATGTTTTATTTCTTTTGGGGGGGGCAGAGCTTTGTCACATCATATTTGGGGGGGGGGTCTGACTTTTTGTGATGGCGTGTGACGACGACGGGGGGGGGGGGGTGTCAAAAATCGTCCTAAATCGCGTGACGTCATTTATGGACGGCCCCTTATTGCAATTAAACAGTTAAGATATTCAAACACCAAATAGATACCTTTTGCAAGGCATCGAGTATGGATTAACCACACGTACTTGTGGCAAAAAAAAAACACGTAAACAAACATGCTCTTATAATAAAAATGTGTAAGGGATGTCAGGGGAATGATTCCCACCGAAAGGAGGGGGAGTGGGACGGTGACAGGGGAAGGAGGAGGAGCAAGCGAGGAGATATAAGAGAGAGAACGGGCGGGAAGAGGGGAGATTGAGACGGCTGCGGACAAGTGTGGATTGAATGAAGGAATAAAAGACAAACCCCATACAACCTTATGTCGGCTCTTCTTTACATCTGGTGGCATTGGTGGGATCGACAATGGCTACAAGGAAAAACCTCCGTGGAAGAGAACCAACAGAAGAGGAAGCAAAGGCCAGGGCAACAAGGAGGCCTGCTACCAGGAGCAGCAGCAGGGGGCCCGGACCCCATGGAGGACCGCATGGCCTTCGTGGAGAGAGCAATCCAGGAGCTACTGCGGCGGCTCCCTATGGGAGGGCCCGCCGGCATCGGGACCCCCTCTCCCATTGTACTATGGGAGGAGGCGCCACGGGACCCAGAGGCTGACCAGCCAGCCGAGCATGAGCCGCAACCAACCTCGTCATGCCAGCCGCCGCCGCCGCTCCCACCAAAACCGCCAGGGCTAAACACCCAACGGGGGGAGCTGGTGGGAGGACGGGTGCGCCGGCTGGGGCCCATCGAGAAATTCGTGGCTGAGGGAGGTGATTGGGAGGCATTCGTCCGCCGATTCGAGGCTGCCTTCCATGCTCTCGAGTGGTCGAAGAGGCACTACGAGTATTGCCATTCGTTCTAGACGACGATGTGCTCGCCTCTTACACCTCCCTTCCCACGCACAGCAAGACCACGCTACAGGCAGCCTACGAGGCTTTGGGGGAGATTTACTGCCCAGCTGAGGGCGCCTTTAGACGGTTCCAGGACCGCCAGCGGGGGGCTAGAGAGTCCCCTTTAACCTACAGAGGTGCGCTGCTCGCGAGGAGGGCCTTCCCTCACCTAGCTGACGAGGCGCTCGAAAACTTCGTGGTCGAGCACCTTATCGCAGAGGTCGTAATCGGGTACCCGATACCCGTACCCTACCCGATACCTGGTGGGTACGGGTAGGCCGTGAGTCACTGGTGAGTAACCGTTTGTTACTCATTTCCCAACGTCTTGTATCTTCCCACAATTCAAGTTCCTAGAATCAACCCACCCACGCCTGCAGCATGGCTTCATCCCAGAAGTCGCAATCGGGTACCCGATACCCGTACCCTACCCGATACCCGGCTACCCGTACCCGGCCGGGTATCGGGTACGGGTACCCGTTTGCGACCCTGGTGCGGCCGTGTACGGGTACGGGTAAGGAATCAAAACCCGTTTGCGACCTCTGTCTTATCGCCTATGCTTGTCGCACCGGCATTGTAATGCGGGTGGTGACGCCGGAGGAACGTACCTCGCTGTGGGCCACCCGGATCCTCCAAGTCCATGAACAGGTAATGGGCCGGGCGCTACCCATGGGCCAGGTGGCTGGCGTGGCGGGGGGGAGCAACCGGGACCAGCGACGCCAACTGCCGAACCTGCACCGTCGCCGTAGGCTGCCTACGTGGCAGCTGGGAACGGACCTTCAGTGTTTGAGCCGGAGCCATCGCTGCGGGAGGTCTAATTGGCGATCTGGGGGCTGGCGGAGCAGAGAGACCAGGGGCGCGACCAGCCGCCGCGCTGCTGGCAGCTGCCTCTACAACACCGCGCCGAGCCACCCTGATGAAACGCTCCGTGGGTCTGCCACCATTGTGGTCGAGAGGGGAATGTGGTGAAGGGGTGCCGCATGGAGCCGGAGGCAGCCAACTCCACCTGGAACCCGCCGGGACCAAACACCGACAGGAACCAGGCGAGTGACACCGTCCCGCCCGGCCCATCGGCCGGGCTGGAAATCCACACTCCCAACACCACGACCTCACCGGGGGCCTCCTCGGGGTGGGCGCCGTCGGTGTCGGGGCCCGGGCTCCACGGTCCTGGTCGAGGGAAGGGGATCGCGCCAGTGCCGAAGATCAAGCTGGGGCCGGAGACCGTGCCAGGGCCGGGGACCACGCCGGGGCCGGGGACCGCGCCAGGGCCGGGGACCACGCCGGGGCCGGGGACCGCACCTGGGCCGGGGACCGCGCCGGGGCTGGGGACCGCACCAGGGCCGGGGACCCTGCCGGGGATCGCACCGGGGCCGGGGACCGCACCAGGGCCGGGGACCCTGCCGGGGATCGCACCAGGTGTCCGGGGATTGCGCCAAGGCCGGGGATCGCGCCAGGGCCGGGGACCCTGCCGGGGAACGCACTGGTGGGGGCCGAAACTATTGTCCAGGGGAACCAGCATTTGTTCAATCAGGTGCTGAACACCTCGAACAGAGCAGCGATGGTGCCTTTCCGGATTTTGGCTTCCCCTTTTTCCTGGACACAGACGCCAACGATGTGGGCATCGGCAGCGTCTTGTCACAAATCCAGCAGGGTCGGGAG